AATTGTTGTTCCATTTAAGCGAGCTTTTCTTCTGTTTCCACGCCAACTTGTCGGCTCTGATGAGGCGTACATCTTGCTTGCTTGGTAGTTGCTGACGCCGGTGCTGCGAGAAGAGGACAGTGTGACCAGGTCGCGGTTGGAGGACGCAATCGGTCGCGACGCGTGCCGGTACAGACGGCGAGTTTTGCGCCAAGTCGACAGGTCCAATGACCCAAAACGTGCCGGTCGACGAGCGTCCGCTTCGCGACATCCACGACCCAGCCTCCGTCGTCTCCACGACGTCCTCGTGGCCTGTTGGTTGCGGCAGCCGATTCGACGGCTCATCGGCCACACACTTCAACTCCCACTCCTCCGGCTTCCGGGCCAACTCGTTTTCCCCACTCTCGCCTCACACTTTCACACCATGCCCCACCATCCCCTCTTCTTCCTCCTCCTCTTCCCTGTTGCCGGGACGACTGGCCACTCTTCTGCTCTTTCGTCCGGCTTGGCTGCCATGCCAGACTTCTGCCGCTCCGGCCTCTCTTTCGCCGACTCCTCATCTTCTTCCTCCTCCTCCTCCTCCTCCTCCTCCTCCTCCTTCTCCTCTTCTTACTCCCCCTCCTCCTCCTCCGTCGGCATTTTGGTTGGCGTCAGTGAAGGCGGCCGCGGCTGCCTTCGCAATGGCTTCCTCCAGCCTCCGTGAGCCGTTCTGCCCAGAGACGAGTTCGCCTCAACCGGTTCCAGGCAAGTGGGAGTCCGCAGTCGCCGGCTGCGCTACTTCGAGGCCACTTGTTCAGCCGAAGGAGCAACTGCGGCCGGAGCAACTTCAGGCGGACTTGCATTTCAGGTGAGACGTCAAAGTGAAGTGTGTCCGTCTTCAAACACATGATCCCATTTTACCTCTCCTTTCAAGATGTGATGTAGGCTTTCGAAGAATTCTTCACGAATTTCGGTCACAACAAGTCTCGACACCGTTCTGTAAGGCAGCGTCACTTTTAATGTTAATACCTTCCGACGACATCCGATCTGCTTGACTAGCAACTAAACTCCCTATTCCAGATCTACCAATAGTCTCGAAATCCTACTTGATGTGACTATCTGTAACCTTGTTGACGGCAGTGGGAAAAACACGTTTGTAAAGTCTATTCACGCTAGCTCCGTTAAGTTGTTGACGTGATTGGTAGTTGAATTTTCACACAACCAGCTGACT